TTAATTTGATCGGATTTTTCCAAAATTTCCAACTTGTGACGAACTTTTAAAAACTATGGAATTCCATAAAGAAACGAATCTTTAAAACATAGAGATATTTTACCGCAAATTACTATCGAGAAAATAAAAAATTATTAAAAATGGAACATTTTGACAAATTAGGTTATAAAATTCAAAAAATTCATGCTTGTCTACGTTTTTGATGCAATGCAGATGTGTAAGGGTACCTACGAGCGGAGCCTTCCTCATGAATGTCTCGATTGATATACTTCCATCTATAATTGTCTTCAAAACATCTATAGTTTCTTAAGCATCGATTTTGACATTTTTAACAAGCCACAAATCATCTTTCATCATTGTTTTGAATAGGTGAGATATACGTATAGTTATATAATACGTTGAGAAACGTTTGAACGAGTGTTTTGTTACACGAAGTTTCCAATAAATTGCTGAACGGAATACTGCAGTCATATAAACCGAGCCATATACACATTTATCATTTATATATTTATTAGCTTTACGCCAACATAATTTTTTCTGACTGTCCACCATTGGAAACAATACAAGATGTAACGTTTGAGTCTTGTGCTTCCAGTTATCAGCCGTCTCTGTTATGACTGACGGTGTACAGCGTCAGAAGCGCTCCGCTGCATTGTTAAGTTTTCTGGTAACAAACTAAAATATTTGTCATTTCAAGACATTAACTATTGAGTATTTGCAGATTGCACCGTACATTTTGTACTGCCTTTGTTTTTATTTCCAGAAAGAAAAAAATGTAAAAAAAGAAAACTTTAATACGAGAGCCATTTACATTCAAATTGTACAATTACATGGGTAGCACAGCACCAACATTCGCTTGCATGGAAAGCTGTGACGGAAAAAATGTTTCGTAAGTCACACTGATTGTTCCTTGAACGCTTTTGTTGTTCAGAAATTTATTAAAATAATGTGTTATCTCCAAAATAAATATCATAATCATACATAAATATTTCATATTAAAAACGAAAAATAGTTATAAAGTAAGGCGAAACCATTCCTTACAACTAAATTACATGATCAGTGTTTATATAATACGTTAAACGCTATATATATATATATGAATATATATATATATATATATATATATATATATATATATATATATATATATATATGAATACAATTGATATTTAAGTAAAATACATTGCCTACATCAAAAGACAACGTCAATGAAATGTGACGTTGATGATGACTAATAAAAGATCGCAAAAAATCATAATGCAGGACTTGGAACATGGTTGTTCGTCACTAACAATGACATAACACCTTTAATCTAAGGTGAAAAAATAGTTCGGTTTAGAACATAAAACTGTCAGAACAAAATCAAGGACAAAAACATTAACAATATCAACAACATACATAACAAAAACAACTTGAGAATAACAAAATTCAAAAACAAATGGAACAAAATAAATTCAAGATCGCAGATCATGAGATTGGTGATATCAAGATGATCTGCAGGTCCATAACATTTGTGCCTGTCAATCCTGTTTTCAGCAAGTACCTACCAGCGTCCACCTTCGAGAAAAACGTGTAAGAATCATTTGTTCTCAGAAAATCTTCTGCCTTCAAGTTGAGTTTGAGAGCCTGTTTAATGAGCGTTTGATCGCATGAGGCCCCGGCAGCATCTGTAGGCCCATCTTGACCATCAGTACCTGCACTAAGAAAGGTTATGGCATATTTTGACAAAACATCAGTTTCCAGCAGTTTGTTTAGTTCAATAGCAGCTGAGAGGACCATGTGCTGATTTCGACCTCCCATACCCTGTCCAACAACATTTACTGTTGTTTCACCAGCAGCCAATATGCAGACAGGCTTGCTGCACTGATCATACTCTGTAACAACTTTGCACAATTCATTAAGTTGTGACTTCTCTAAGCCTCGGTGTAACAAATCAAATTCATTCTTGACAAGTAACTGGTCAGGTTTGTTCTTACTGTACATGGTTCTGCAGATGTAGTTGATGAGCAGGGCAAACATTTGTCCACGTTCTTCTGCATCACCTGTGACGCTGGAAGACAAGAGGTAAGTACCATAACCCAAAGAATCAGCGTATTTAAGTGCTGAATTAAGGGCTATAACATTACTACCTATGATTACATTATGAACATTTCGGCAATGAAAACTGGCCACACTTTTTTTCAAAGTATGTTCGGATTCTGAATCTTTCTTGAATTCTTCCGATTGTGATCGATCATTCAATACTGTAAAAACTGATTGAGGCACACAGTTCAATAGGTCAAAGTTTTCTAGAAGGTCAAAACATTGCTGGGGCGTAGTGAAATCCTGTGAGGTAGGACCACTTGCAATAAAGTTCAAGTCATTGTTTACAACATCAGAAAGGATCAACGATATGACCTGAAAAAATTTGAGTCTATAAAATTAATTGAAGCATGGCACAAAAATAATTAACTAGACACCTGTGCAGGGAAAGCAGCCTTTGCAAGCCCACCACCTTTCAACTCTTCAAGATGTTTGCGAACAGTGTTCAGCTGCTGTATAGTTGCCCCTTTCTTCGATAACATTTGTGTTACTGTTGACAACTCTTGTAGTGTAAGAGGTGGAGTAGGAGAGGGAAGAAGAGCTGAACCACCACCTTCAAAAAAATGCTTAAATGTAAAAATAAAGTATTAAATATTTTGACAAAAAAAGAATTTACCTGATATCAAAACTAAAACAATGTCATTTTCTCCACATTTTGTTACTAATTTTTTGATTTCTTGAGCTGCCCTGAGTGAGTTTTCATCAGGACAATTGTTAGTGCTGCCTTCAATCAACTTTACTTTGCTTGTAACTGAAGGTAAAAAATCCCTACGAAATATCAACACAAGGTTATTATATAATTATAATATAACATGACACTTATGGTAGATTTACTAAGTCTCTCTAATTGAAATGGAAAAAACTAAATTAAAAAAATGTAAATTTTAGCATAAAAAAATATGAATATCACATAAAAATAAATAAACTAATAATATAATATAATAATTAAAATATTAACTAATATTATAATTATATTAATCAATAAATGAAATTATAAAATAATACAGCAAACCATTTTCCAAAAGATTTTAGTGTGGATTGAATTCCAGAAGGAATGCTTGCAATGCCATCTACAATGTGATCTCCTAAAATATCTTCAGCTGTTTTCACCATTCCAATGACCGCCTTTCCAAATGCAACAATGTGCACGTTGTTATTTAGCACATACGACTGATCGCCAACCGACAAGATGTTTCCAGATATCTTCAGCGAATTCAGCATCATAGTACAAGGAGTTACGGATTTCAGCGAAACATTGAACAACTCAAAAGCGTGATTCCTCAACTTCACTGCTTCCATTTTGGATGCCACGGCGGATAATTCTGAAACTTTTTGGTGAGGTGGTGGTGACTGAACCTTCCTTACAAAACTGTGGTTCACTTTGATGACAATACGTCTAAATAATAGTGAACTTACCTGCTTTTTTATGTTTATCATAATTGTTTTATTTAGTGAAAAAAACAACATTAAAATTAAAATCTAAAAATATCCTGCGGCACTGGTTCTTAACTCGCAATCCCCATTCATGTTCGAAATAAGTAATCAAACAGTGGAAAACATCAAAACATTCGTGAAATTGGAAATAAAATTTACATATGTTTTGATCGTTATTCAAGGTATATGGTATATGGTAATAAATAAATAAATGAATAAAGAAATAAATAAATAGATAAAGGTAGTTTAAGTATATGGTAATAAATAAATAAATAATCAAATAAATAAATAAAGGTAATGTTAACCTTCCATACTCACGTTTAAAATACTTGAGTCCTATTTTATACAAAGTTGTAACTTGGAATTCATTTTATCTCATATGACTATTCCATGCATGTAGATATATGTATCAAAATTTTATGTGTGTGATGAGTGTTCTTAGTATATGGTTTTTGGTGTCATACGAATTGGACGAACGATGACATAGTGTTAACGGGGTTAACGAACTGTAGCACAACACACAACAGCTAAACAACAACAAACATCCAAAGTTCATTTTCTTAATTATTCAATCAGTATTCAATCGACTATATATTGTTTATATATTATATATTGACTGAGTTTGTAACTGGTTGGCATTTCTGATTATTTTTAACCTTATTTAAAGAACAAGATATGTAAATTGATAAAATTTAATCATCTTTTAAGAAATATAAAGTATATTTTAGATGCACAACACAACAAGTAGGTATTGTAAATAATACGGTATCTGTAGCACGCACGTTGATAACTTGTGGTGTTTTTATGTACTTTTCTTTAAGCAGTAGTTAACAATTCTACTTAATCATTTTATGCTGGGATTGCTCTCTTTCTAGTAAAACTTTCCTGGCGGTAAGGGCAGCAATGGCGCCACATATGCAGAAAAATTTTTGAGTACAAGTACTCAAATATCGAGAACAATTGATTTCAAACATGACAAAAAAGTTGGCATGCATTTATTGACGAAACCAGATTATAGACATTCAGACTTATCGTTACCTTTAAAAGAAAAAATTTTTTTATCTGTTGTGTAAAATATTAATACTATAATTAAGCTGTATTGGTTGAGAAATTGGTGGATAGTTAATAACCAGCGGCGGATTCAGCCGTATCTCCAACCAGTTTTATCTGTTATAAAATTCATCAACATGTAGTTGTTTTGCGTTACTTATATACTTGTTTTCAATGAAATATATCTTTAAAAATTTAATTTTACACTTTGATCAGAAATTAATTAAAAAAATCTTTTTAGCATACATCTACATATATTGCGTATTGGCCTCGCTTGTACTCGTTCGTTAATGTTCAGCTACCTACATTCCATTGTTATTACCAATAATATATAGGGGCGCTGTCGAAAAAGCTAAAGCCGGCACTGAACCAACTGATATAATTTCGTCATTCCTGATTAAGCAAGATAATTATCCTTATAAATGGAAAATTCTTATCCTCCTCCGCAATAGCGCCAAGCCACACGTCGCACAACGGTCGTTAAAAAAAACCTGATCGCCCGCTGGGCTACCAGATTTAGCATCACTCACCATGCGTACCAGACCTTTCACTAACAAATATTCTATTTTTTCAAACACCTTAACGAATTTTGGTGAAAAGAGTGCTTCAAAACCGATGATGCCATAAAAAAGCCTTTTAACAGTTTGCCGTCTCCATCAACGAATGTTTTTTTCTTGTTGGCGCAGATGAGCGTTGATTGCAACGGTTCTTATTTCGGTCGAATATCTTGTATAATAGAAGCCAAAAATCTCATTTTAAAGGGACGCAACGCAATCGACAATATTTTTACACCAACCTAATAATTTTCTCAACGTAATGTAAAAAGTTAACCGTGTTTGAAAAATTTGTGGGAGCTGCAACTTTCCTGCTCCTCCTGGCTACAGCCTTGTTTTCAGATTTGACCACAGACTTTCTTAAAAAACACATATTCTGAAAGCATTAATCAATATATTTTAGTGCTGAAAAAGCTTACGATAAAGTATGGTCGCATGAAATTGTAAGTTCAGGGAAGAGCGACCAGAACGTGTAAACTAAAAAACTTATTATAACAGATAAAGTATGATTGGTATAAGAAGGACGCTAGAAAAAGAAGAACCATGCAGAGGTGATCTATTGTTAATTCAAATGTATGAAATTGTAAACGGTACAGATGTTATAAATTGGCATAATGAACCGATATTTAGGTTTGACCCAGAAACAAGAGTATATAATAAATGATCAAGAATGGAAATAGTAAAAACTGCCGGAAAAAATGTACTAAACTAAAATATTTTGCAAATGTATGAAATAAATCAATTAAAAAACAATTAAAATGAATGAATTCTTTAAAAAATAATTTAATATTTATTAATAAACTATAAAATGTAAATATTGACACAATTTGAAGAGTTTCATAGAAACTGAAGAATGAGACCAGGTCATGGATATAAAACGTACAAAAAGTGTACGCGGGTGCGTTCGAGGGCCTGTATAGATATATAAGGCGTTATAATGCGGTTATTATTTCTGGGGGTAAACATAGTTTTCAGTTTCATATAAACCATAAGAGCGATAAATAATTCTCTGATTTCAGACAATGTTGAACAGCCAAGGAGCGGGCGGCGGTGTGAACAAACAATTTGAAATAAGTTCGCTAGGATCGAATTACGAAAATAAAGAAAAGGTCGGAGGACCCATCAGAAATTTTAAAGCAGAAAAGTACGAAAAAACGGAATTTCCATTATGTCCTGATGCTGGAGATTCTTATGAGAAACTGAAGAAAATTGGCCAAGGCACTTTTGGGTAGTTTTCATATTTTACTTTTGCTTCCACTTTTTTGTGACTATTTTTTTTTATTAGTTTTGACCTGAGCTGAGAATGAATTAATTCAATTTAAAACTTGCAAATTGTGCTGTGATTCATCATATTATTATTGTTGGCTGGGATGTTATGTTATGTTATTTATTGCTTTGTTCATTCTTATATTTATTGTTGTTATGGTGATTGTACTTTTGTAATGTAATCGTTTTATTATTCCATTCATCTCTATAGCCTATAGTGTTTGCATATTTTTTAGTAAGTAAACGTAAATAAGAAAAAAATAAATATTTAATATTGTGTATAAACCTCTTTAGCTCTATTCTATGCTAATATAACTAAACTAATTACAACTTCACTAAACTAACTGAACTAAACTGTAAATTGTAGATGTGTAAACAAGAGTGGGAAGTCAAGTCAAAATCATAAGCGCAGGTGTTTCAACAGAAACATTTCTATTAAGTCGACATAATAATATTATAAGTCGACATAGAAATGGCTTGTCTGATTTTATTCTCTACTGTAACTATTATAAATGTAAGAAAACAATATGAGATTGAGTTACTGTTAATGTATTATTGTAAGTTATGAAACATTAACATGTTTTGTTTTCAATTATATTATGAAGACCCTAATGTAAATGTTTTGTTTTTGGCTTGCATGTTAAACCTTTTTTGTCATGAAGTAGCTTCTTCATCATCAAGGTAGTTTATTATATCTGTATTGACATTCAAAACTTCACACTGTGAAGGAAAGTTTAGCCTCAATTTTTGTTCTTGATTACTTTAGAGAGGTTTTCAAAGCAAGATGCAAACACACAAAGAAACTTGTAGCCTTGAAGAAGGTCCTCATGGATAATGAAAAAGAGGGAGTATGTAGTATTTTTTTCCCATTTTCAATTTCATCTTTGTTTCACAATCCTAGCCTATAATTTATTTTAAAAAGTTTTTTATTTTTATGTTCTCCCGTTATTTTTTTTCTAAATGTTCACAATTTAAATTGTTAAGATCTAAACTCTGTACATTTATATATCTTTGTTGTTATTAACTTCAATACACTTTTAGATTCCTTTTCTCCCTTTTTCAAGTTGTTTGGTTTCCGGTGCATTAAGAAAGTAGTTTGATCCATTAATTAAATGCGTTTTGTTTGTATATATTTTAAAATCAGTTTAATTAATCAGTATTATTAGTATAAATAGTAACAGGTTAAGTGCCTGAATAGTAAACTAAAAACTCCAGATGAGTTGCATCAAGTGCCAAACTGCTTTAGATAAGTTCAATAATGCAGATTGTAATGCTATGATAATTCTCTTAACCGGATGAAACATATGTATGAAAAATTATGTTAATTGTTAGATGCCAGAGATATTTGGTTAGAGCTTCATCATTTGTATGATGATGTTAACAAGACAGAGCATACAACTTGTGCATGAAGTTTTTCAACTACAAGATGGATGAAAATTATGATGTTCCTCATCTGTATCTGTATCCAAGGATTTGTTTTAGAGCTCCCCTATTGAATAACTTCAGATCAGAAGTGCTAGCTTTACTTGAAAATACCAAAACAAATGATATTTCAAATGTTTCTTGAAAACATGTTGATTCATATTGTTGAATTTCTTCAAATCTACAGGTAGTGAGTTCCAGATTTGTGCAGATGAAACAGAAAATTTTCTCTTCCTAAAACGAGACAGATTGAATTTAGGAAGCAAGAACACCATTATCAGAGGACCTCAGTCGACTCCAATTTGCAATTTTGAAACTAATTGTAGTTGTTCTTTCAAATAAATTGGAGCCTAACCCTAACCCTACACCATATTTTTTTGAATTAGAAACCAATCAAGATGAGAAGTGAAATAGTTAAAGTCATAGTTAAGTTATAGTTAAGTTAAAGTCAGTCAGTCAGCCTTACAGATCAGCAGTTGGTGCCTTGATGTACTTGATGACAGTGACAAGACTAGATATTGCATATGCAGTTGGAGTAGCATGCAGAAGTCTGGAAAATGTCTAAAGCAGATTTTTAGACATTTGCAAAATAGGTACTGCTGATGTTGGTGTTGTTCATAGATCTGGTCAAAACAATGCATTAACAGCTTTCAGTGATGTTGATCATGGAGGATATAAGACGAGTGGAAAATCGACATCAGGAGTGACCTGTACGTTTGCTGGAAGCGTGATCAGCTGAATTAGTCAACGTCAATAAGGAGCATAAATAGTTGCAGCAAGCGAGGCAACTCCGGAAGTAGTATGGTTCAAGCGATCGTTGAACGACATTGTTGAGTTTAAGAAAATTCCAAAAAATTTTGTTGGCAATGAAGCAGCAATTCGTTTAACGAATAATCCAGAACTTCATAGACGAACAAAGTATATTCATTCGACATTTTTTTGTCCAAGAAAAAGTTGCTGAAGAAGAAGTTTCAGTTGAACCAGTAGCGACAGAATTTGAGCAGAATGCAGCACAGATGGTTGAAGATTGGAACACCAGACTGGCCGATCATGGATTCAAAGTCAACATCAGCAAAACCAAAGCAATGAACACTGGTGAACCCATTCAATCCACAGCTACTGGACGATGGCCCTGTTCAGTTTGTAAAGCTGGTGTAGGTAACAATTCAATCAAGTGTCAGCAGTGTAACCAGTGGTGTCACAAACGTTGTTCAAAAATAATTGGTAATTTATCTAAAGTGTCCAATTTTGTTTGGCTTGCTTGCATCAATCCACAACAACAAATTTGAAATAGCTATGTTTTTGAAGCCATTAAGGTAGAGAAAGTCACATCGTTTCAATATCTAGGGGATGTTCTGGACTGTACTGGAACAGCTGAAGCTGCCGTTCGAGCACGCATACATGCAGTCTGGAATAAATGGCATCTCCTTGCCTCTATATTGACGCGGCGTGACATCCCACTACCACTACGATCAAGACTTTATAAATCTGTGATACGTCCGGTGTTATAGGATGCAGAAACACGGCCAATGACAACCAAACTGGAACAACAACGTCACCGAACCGATATGAAAATGCTCTGATGGATGCAACGAATTAGTCTGAAGGACCACATCAAATCTACCGAAATCCTGCGTCGTGCTGGTTTAGATGATATAAAGGACGAATGCCGGCAACACCGTCTGCGGTGGTTTGGTCATGTCAAACAAAGTGGAAACAGTGCCATAACTTCTCTTGCAGATGTTGAAGTACCTGGCTCACGTCCCAAAGGCCGTCCAAAGAAGTCCTGGTCGCAAACAATCGAGCAAGACATGAAAGCTCTAAATTTAAATGACAACTGACAACTAAATTTACAACTGATCGTCTAATTTGGCGCAAAAAATTGATGGCAAAGAAAACAACTTTCTACCTCGGGGGGATTTGGGTTTCTGGACGCTAAACGAAGATTGATTGACTGTAGCGACAGAATTTGAAGTTGCTGATGCTCTGACAAAACCTATGCCAGGACCCAGACTCATGCGTTTGTTAATCATAATGGGTCTTATGGAACATTTGTAACGAGTTTCATGTTTGTTGCAAAATGAGAAGGTGTTAATATTTAAGTTTTGTCAAAAACATTATTGGACTCTGTACATTTAAATATCTATGTTGTTAGACACTTATTCCCCTTTTTCCAAATTGTTTGATTTCCAGTGCGTTAATAAAGTAGTTTGTTCAATCAATCAATCATCGTTTAGTGTCCAGAGACCCAGTTTGTTCCTTTAATTAAAAGTGTTTTGTTTGTATATATTTTAAATATTTTTAGTCCTGGTTATGACATTAAACTGACCCTCACTGCCTTGTGAGTGATGTTGGATCATCAAAGGCTAGGCCCACCGCTTATAACTGTGGTTGCGTAAGGAAGGGCGTCCTGCGTAAAAATTAGCCAAATAAATTACTAATGATGACAGAAGTGACAATGACCCTCATCGAGGGGTATTTCGGTTTCATCATAGGTAGCCAAACGGCAACCCCCGATCTCGGGGAAAATGTCGTCTAAACGTGTGTTGTTGTTGTTTTTGTTGTATATATTTTAAAATCATTTAAATTAATCATTATTATTAGTATGAATTGTAACAAATGTGTTTTCTATAAGCTGAACCTTCTTTAATATTTCATGTTTCTTTACACTTTACTCAAACTCGTTTTCAAATTTACAAATTTATCTAATGAAAATAAATCGAAGTGCTTCTTATTTCATTTATTTTTAGATCTTTTATTCTAAGCGGATAATTTTCCATCGAGTTTCGATGACTCAAACTGAACCATGATTATATTTCTAAGGTACAGTCAGACCTCTGTATGGCTTCAGGAAATCAATTCACTATATAGAAATTTCGTTATATAGAATTTGTTTGGGAAAAAATCTCTTTTGGGAAAAAATCTCTTATTTCTTATTCATATGATAAATATTGATGAAGAAGTCATTTAATCATTTATTTTTATAACAAAAAATATAAAGCATAATTACAAAAATTATTAAAAATAACTTATTATTATATGTATGTGCTTACATTATATGTATACAACAAAATGCATGATACGTAAAACAGTAATGCGAGAATTTAACTTTTAATTTACTATGTTTAACAATTTTTGTTTAAATTTTCAGGTGTTTCTTTCAACTTTTATGAATTGTGTTTGTTACAGAGGTATTATTTTCGTTCTATAAATTTATAGAAACAGTTTTTATTAGAAAAATTCCAAGTGACATAAAGAAAACTTTATGTAGAGAGATTTTCGTTGTATAGAAGTTCGTTGTAAGGAGGTCTGACTGTATTGTTTTTTCATACACTATTCATACAACATAACATCTACCTACAATATGAATGAATTGTTGAATTCTATTTCAGTTACATCTTTATTTGTAAATGAAATGACATAATACATTAAGACTGTAATGCCTTGAATTATTATTTTGAATGTAAATACAAAATCACATTGTTTTATGTTCTATTCAGTTTCCAATTACAGCTTTGAGAGAAATAAGAATTCTTCAGCTTCTCAAGCATGAAAATGTTGTCAACCTTATTGAGATATGCAGGACAAAAGGTTTTATTTAATATATTTGTTGTGTGTGTGTGTGTGTGTGTGTGTGTGTGTGTGTGTGTGTGTGTGTGTGTGTGTGTGTGTGTGTGTGTGTGTGTGTGTGTGTGTTTACAGTAGTTATTTACCAAAACAACACATGATCATGATGGCGATAATAATATGGGTGATGACAATGATAAATAAATGAAATTTATAAATTCATAAATTCTTGTGAACAGCATATGCACAGAATCGATACAGAAGTCAATTCTACTTGGTATTTGATTTCTGTGAGCACGACCTGGCCGGACTTTTAGCCAATTCGAGCGTCATCTTCTCTCTTGGAGAAATAAAAAAAGTGATGCAGCAGCTGCTGAACGGTTTGTTTTTCATACATTACAACAAAATACTTCATAGAGACATGAAAGCTGCCAACATTCTTATAACTAAAAATGGGGTTCTCAAGCTGGCTGATTTTGGGCTAGCAAGGGCTTACAGCATAAGCAAAAATCAACCAAATAGATACACAAACAGAGTGGTAACACTTTGGTACCGTCCACCTGAGTTGTTGTTAGGGGAACGAGATTATGGGCCTCCAATTGATCTCTGGGGTGCAGGATGCATAATGGCCGAGATGTGGACTCGAAGTCCAATTATGCAAGGTGGCACGGAGCAGCATCAATTAACGCTCATCACTCAACTGTGTGGTTCCATCAATATCGAAACATGGCCAGGAGTAGAAAAATTAGAACTTTTTAACAGGATAGAGTTGCCAAAAGGTCAGAAACGCCGAGTGAAAGATAGATTAAAGAATTACGTCACAGATCGTTACGCTATAGATCTGTTGGACAAACTCTTAATCTTAGATCCTAAACAGCGAATAGATTCAGACAATGCTCTCAATCATGATTTTTTTTGGCAGGAACCGATGCCTGTAGATTTAGCCAAAATGTTATCACACCACACCACTTCTATGTTTGAGATGCTGGCTCCTCCTCGCAAGGGCAGAATCATGCAAGGTATGCCTCAACAACAACCACATCACCCCCTTCCTCATGCAAGGCCTCCCCTCCCAAATGCATCATTGCTATCTAATAATGATCAGCACTTCGAAAGAGTCTTCTAGTTTGTTCTCCTGTGATTTATGTTGTAAAAATTATATACAGATTCATTTAATGCTTTCTTTCATATACTTTTATGCAGCTACGGACGGATGCGAACATTTATGTTTTATTATGTTGTGCATTTTATTTTGTTACAGTTAAATTATTTAAGCTGTAAGTAATTAAATTGTTCTCATTCGTTTACTAAATACATGCCATATTTCTATTGGTTTATGTGAAATAAAAGTTTGAATTTTACAATTTTGGTTTAAATTTCATTTCAAGTTGTTTAAAAGTACAAAAAAAGTATGTTTATATTGTTCTTGATAACCGTTTATTTGAAGTTTGGTTGATCGCGATAAAATCGTTACTCCCTCCAGTTGACTCGCTGCGGTTAGGCCACTGAAAGAAATTAACAAAAATTGATTTATTCATTCATACGCTCGTTTATCCGTTTATTCGTTCATTCATTCTATGTTTGTTGTCGTCTTCATAACGATGCTCAGAAAATTACTAAATCTTATAGATACTAATTTTTTCTAGTTGAGAAACATCATCATCATTTTCCATAATGACAAAATCTATTCTTTCAGCGGTACATGTTTGCGCGCACGTAAGCTATTAGCTGCTGTCCTGCATTAGCGTGCTTTTAATTTTTATTTCAATCAATCAATTAGCTTATAAAGCGCTATTTCCGCGATTTTCAACAGCGCTCCTCAATGAATTTTGCAAACAGATGGGTCTTGAGATCCGCTCTGAACTTCGCAAGTGATGGAGAAGTAGTCAGAGAAGTAGCTAGAGAGTTCCAGAGAAAAGGACCAGAAAAAGCAAAAGCAGATTTGGCAAAAGAGTGTTTAACACGAGTTAATTTTTATTTAAACCTTTATGTTTTTTTCTGAATATTCACAATAGGTAAAGCCAATCGTACTTGGTTTTAGTTTACATAATTTTGTATTTATTTTTTAATCTATAGTACTATCAATAACTGTTTGCGTTTCTCTTTTTTTTTTGTTTTCTTGTCAGAGGTGTACCTGTGTAAGAGACATTGGGATTTGGACCTCTCACAATGGATGTTTTCGTTTGGTAGATAAATTTAAGGAAATCTTTATATAAAATTAGGTTTAATATTGTTGCAGTGACGCTTGCAGATTTTAAAAATTGCGTTTTTATAATGATAATTAGTAAAAAGTCAATTACCTAACTCTATATACTTATACCTATACAGACCCTCGAAAGCACCCGCATCCATTTACAGTTGCGTTTTAGAGTCTGGTTTTTTAGATTCTTTAGTTTCCATGAACAATTTCATCAAACTCATCAAATTTTACAATTTTTATAGTTTATTAATAAATATTTAATCATTTAAAAAAAATTCTATTAATTTTAATTATTTTTTAAGTGATTTATTTAATGCATTTCCATACATATTTTATATCTTTTTCTGTCGTACGTAGAGCCGACCTGATTTGAGATCGTCTACTACCACTGATCAATTATAAAACTCGTCAACGTAAACATAATTATCCAATCACCACTTAATCAATTTATCAAGATATAACCTTAATCCCAAGACATTCGTGGTTTGTTGCAACTCCGTCAAACACAGAGTTGGTTACATGTTATTCTATTTTTAAACTTAAACTTTCGTTCCACAAATGCAGTCCACACCACACGACGCACATACACATTATGCGCGTGCAAGAACTTCATCACACGCGCATAATATTCTGTGAGTTTCGGGCAGACCAATTTGAACCACTCCATCGTGATCCAGTAGTATCAGTGCTTGACATTGCACTTCACGGACTGAGCTAACTCGATGATAATATTTCTATTGAACATATCAATTATTTATTTAGTCACTAAATAATTAATTATTTAATTTATTTATTGGTTTTTAAAATTATTATTTTATTTACCATACCTTACCATGGATATAACCATGTACGTAACCCATTTTGTTTGATATATTTTCTTTGTTTTATAATATTGTTTTGCATGTTGTAACCAAGTACTTAGTTTTTGCCTCTGTCGGATTTTATTTAATTTTACTGCATTTTTTGTGGCATTTATTTATGTAAATTCTATGTGGTTTTAATATATGCCTAAAAAAAATTACTACAAGTACTGTTTTAATTCTTTGCTGTTGATAGTTGTTCTAGGCTTGTAAAAGTGAATTTGGTTATTCAGATATAAATATCCTCGCCGGTTGCTTTTTATCTTAATTTATTTAGTTAATATTAAACTTTTGCTTTGCGCTGAAAGAAACGTCTCCTATTTGTTAATACATACCTAACAGGAGAATTCCCCAGTCATCAACAATTTTCAACATGGCTTCTTCTAGAGGAATGGCTCTTTATGCAGGTTTTGTTTTTTTTTGTTGGTTTCTTCTATTGATTCAATTTCAATCAATTGGCTTGCACAGTCAGGCCAAGTAGTTTAATAAATAATAATTTTGAGACGAAAGGGAAAAATCGAATTTAGATGCAGCTTCTACAAATTTAAAAATATATATTCATATTGTAATTGTTTCATGAAGTTTTTCTGTCATATTTATTGATTTATTATTCTTATCCATCTTCTTTATGATTATTATTATAAATTCATGATCATATTAGGGCCTAATAAATAAGGGCATAAGGTTGGACTAGGCTGAAATTGTTTTCTTAAATCTGGCCATATTCAAATTTAACCAGATTTAAAAAGAAAATCTGACAGAAGTAAATACTTTTTTATGTACAAACATAATTTACACAATTATGAATATTAAAAATATGTATATACTGATAATTTTTGTAATTTACCAAAGTATTTGGTTAAGAAATATGTTTTGTTTTAGTGTTTTTATTCGACGACGCATGCTGACCAGATGTGAACAATGTCCTACATTTTAATGTATGATACATATTTTAACATTTCTAAAAAGTTTAGGCCAAAACTTGGATCATAGCTCAAGTTTCGCTTTTAGCCAAAACAAAAATTCTAGTCTGGTTGAACTTTACACTTAAGCCTATAATGTACAATAAAAATCTTTATTTGCTCCTCAAAATTAATAAAGAAATCCAAATTGATAAAAAGAAGGCAGGATGACTGTGATGGAGTTCACTGAGGAGCTCATCCAGTACGGCCACCTAATCTCAAGTAGTTAATGTTCTACAGTATTTTTTACATTTTAGATACCCCACAGTCTAGAAGAAATACATAAATTATAACGTGTTAAATAAGTACAAAATATCACATAACTTGAAAGGTTGTTAGCAAGTTAGCAAAAAATAAACTTAAGGCTACCATTCAATGCATGCTATGATGATTGCTTTTTATATATTGTGGAATAAATAAACAGGCAATTTAAAGATAATTACTTAAACATATCAATGGGTGTTGTCAAGGGGTGCTTGGAGATGAAATCTCCCATACAATCGAACCTTTATCTAGGTTTAACGTAAAATAGAAAAGATGTTTATATAAATTTTGAATTAAAATGCTTATGTTTTATTCATAACAAACCCTAGCAACAAAAAGTTTCTTAATGGAGTGAATATATTAATATATGAATGTTTTAATTGCTTGTTTGTTTCAGATGAACAGCAGAAGATGAGGTTCCAAGTCGAATTGGAATTTGTTCAATGCCTGGCTAATCCTAATTACCTGAATTGTTAGTGTCTTCATTGTTCATTTAATTAAACTAAAAATGGTAATAAATTGTTTTCTGCTTTCATTACAACAAACTATAAAGCGAATATTTATAGGCGAAAACCATGGAGAAAATGATGACTTCACAATACGTTCTTGCATGTTTATATGCGTGTATATAATATACGTGCATGAGCTCCCTTGCATTGAGGCGTTTCCTACTTCATTTTAAATGAAGCAGGCCCGATGCTTCAGATGCGATAAGCCCGGTATGGGTCTGTCTTAAGCGAACCTTCATCGAAATTACAGGAGCTTCTGTAGGTCATGTTCGTGTTCAAGTCTGGATTGTGGTATAGGTGAATCAAGAAAACGAGTATGTGGTAGGTTGAGAAATTGCTCGATTGTGGCTTTATCTGTTTGAGCTGGCTTTCCTCTGGGGCGCATGTGGCTGATATTGTGTAGTGGTGAAGTGGAGATTAACTCTGAGTGCGTTTCACGGAGATATCTAATTTACGTTTTTGTTTGATCCTATCTGACAATTCTGCAGCTACTTTTACCTTTTCAGTTTTAAATTATTATCTGATTTTAATTTTAAATTATTATCTGATTTTAATTTATTTCTTGCTGTTTATATATTTTATTGCTTAAATGAATTTTATATCTGCCTCTATGAATTTTTTTCAATTTTTCAATGTTATCTTTTCAATGTTTCACTTTTACACTCTAATTGCTTCTGAAGAGTTACAATTTGTTTGTTTGATTTTGTTGGTTTTGAATGATACGTTTGTTTTTTACCTAGATGGCACTTTCATGGACACCATAATAGTATTTGATTGTTTTGTGAAGTTCCTTTTTCGAAATTTTATTCTTTGTTTTGTAAACGTTGTTTAAATAATGCAGTTAAAATATATGCCAAATAAACGAACAAACAAATACATGAATAAATAAATATTAATATGCTATCATTGACAGACTTGGCACAGCGAGGAAATTTTAAGGAGCCAACGTTCATAAACTATCTGAAGTACCTGCTGTACTGGAGGGAGCCCGAGTATGCCAAGTATTTGAAGTAATCATTTGGAGTTCATTTTATTGTAGCTTCTCTTTCAATGAAAAATTAATTTAGTTTGAAACTGGAAAGTTCATGAGTGAATTAATTTTGTGAAACTAACTATGCTAAAAGTTATTAAGGAAACAATTTTGAAACTCTTTTAGGTATCCACAATGTTTGCACATGTTGGATTTGCTGCAGTACGAATCTTTCAGACAAGAACTCATGAATACTCACTGTGCACGTTTCATCGAGGATCAACAGCTGCTACACTGGCAACATTACCTGAGAACGAGGACGAAGTTGGTGCAAGAGCAAGCAGATCTGATTTCAAAATCTACACAGCCAGTCACAACCACGCAAACACCCACCAATACTAACTCCACATCTCTTTCAAACCAATCTAACATTTCACAGAATTTTATGTCACCCATAACACCAAATATATTTTTAAAATAATTATTTTGTCGAATATTATGTTATTTGGACTTAAAGATATCTACTTAATCTCAAAATATAGCATTTGGATTCGCGGTTCGATAAAATGCTATGAATTGTCGATATTTATTTCAGCATATCTTTTATTTCTTTGACTTTTTCTTTAAATAAGATCAGTTAAAAATTTCTCAGCTTCAGTTGAATGCAATGTATATAGTATAACACTAATTTTTTACTTGTTTTATATTTATATCTAACAAGTTATTCCTCTTTTGATTTCTTAATCTTTGTAAATAAACTGGCATGAAAAAATCGAGGGTTACAAAATATTTGACGTTCTAGTTATGTAGTTGCGATAATTTGTGTAATTTTGAAAATACTTCGGTTCCAATATGAAAAATGGTTTTTATTCCCCTTCAATGCATCTCGTGAGCACTACGACGATTTGTTCTATTTTCGTTGAAAAATGATGGCAATGTATGCTAGAATGCGTTCAACGTAAGGTAGTCTATTTTTTGAGATGACAATGTTCCGTCGACTGAAAACTAATGCACATCTCTAATTGTTCGGGCATCATCTTTGGAACATTCGTGGGTTTGCAAGCATTAGTTGCTAGTGAGGCACCGAATATGGAAATTGTTGATCCACCATTCATTATTCAACCTCTTGTTCATATTCAGAGGTTTCCCGCTAACTTGAAAATTATTGTTTTTAATTCCAATAAGTGACGGTTTTAACAGAAGTTGCACTATTCGGCTATTGGCCTTAAAATGGCTGAGACCGAATGTCAAATTTTGTCTGTTCAAATAAAAGCTCTAGATTCAATTATTCTAGACAAATTTGGTTAGGTAAGAAGTCAAAGTTAGATAACATTGGTGGGGCAGAACAACAAGTGTCTTAAGAATTTTTGATCGTATTATCAAGACGCTTGTATAGTGTTCATTAGACGTTAATGCTAATTTTACGACTTCTTTTTATTTCACTAATTTGGATTTTTAATTTAGTTGGATCAAAAGTTTGCAAGTCGATATTTATTATCAGAGAATTGTTGCTTCCATATACGTTTATTCAGTGTAGGCTAAACTTTACATGGCCATCGTTAAATTCTTGTCGAGTTTTTTAATTCATACAATTTGGATAAAAGCATTTGTTTATTGAAATTATGAAAATTTAAAATTCTGAGCTGATTTCCCTTTGCCATTTGTGTATCATCAACTAAATTCGTAAATTTTTACAAACAAATAAATAATTAAGATTTCGTTGTTAATTATTATTGAAGGATAATTCATAATATTTGCATTATAATCTTATTATTATTATTTCATAGCACGGGCAAGCTCCTTGCCATCACAAAACAAAACTCAAAAAACTAAGCAAAATAAAGGTTAAAGGAATAAAATTAAATAAAACATAATTAAACCATCATTCGATTCGAATTATCAACCGAAAAATGACTGTAAATAAAAATATTAAAGAAATTTTCTACAGACATCAATTAGAATTAAACAATTACAATAAATTAAAAGTTTGCTCGCCAATTAAACTTTATATCACCAAAAAAATCATCAATTGTCGATTTAAAAACAGACAGAGAATCCGCATTAACAGCAACCGAGGGCAGCATATTCCAATCTTCCACCACTCTATTTGAGAAGTAGAATTTATGACAGTCTTTATGAGAAATTGAGGCTTTTAACTTGAGGTTATGTCCTCTTGTACGCTCATCGCCCAAAAAAAACAAAGTAGGTCCAATATCAGCCGAAACACCCTCGTGTATTATCCTATAAACTAATATAAGATCGGCTCTTCGTCGTCTGAAGGCAAGAGACGGCAAACCCAGTTTCCTCAGTCGATCATCGTATGAAAGATTTCTACAAGACTTTATCAAACGAGTTGCTCTTCTTTGTACCTTTTCCACCTCGTCTATTAGTCCAACTCTATAAGGATTCCACACTTGAACTCCATATTCCAAATGCGATCTCACCAACGATTTGAACAACAATAAAAAAGCTTCGTTTGAAAGGCCCTTAAAGTTTCTGGCAATAATACCCAACATTGAATTTGCTTTGTGCACTATTTTCAATACATGGCTTCTGAACCTCATTTTATTATCCACAACTATTCCAAGATCTGATAACTCATCAACTTCAGGAAGATTGAACCGCGAATTATCATCATCCACAATGGTGTATGAAGTACACGGCTGGCGGGAACCGATTCTTAGTAACTGGCATTTATCAGTATTTATTTTCAATTTCCATTCCTCAAACCAGGTTAGTAATTTTCTAATATCTTGCAAAAAACTATTTTTGTCTTCCTCTGTTTTCAACACTCTAAAGATTTTTGAGTCGTCAGCAAAGAGCAAGATATTATCACATACTGAAGAAATATCATTGATATAGATAATAAACAGTAGAGGGCTCAAAACTCCACCCTGGGGAACTCCACTCAGGACTGGTCTTGACTTAGATAATGTATCCTCTAATTTCACCTGAAATGTTCTGTTGTTGAGATAATTCTCAATCCATTTTACTATCTTACCATTCACCCCATACCGCCCCAGCTTAAACAACAGACGTTTATGTGAAACTTTGTCGAACGCCTTTTCCAGATCCATGTAGATTACATTGACTTCGTAACCATGATCTGTTCCATCAACCACCGCCTCTAAAAATTTCAACAGCTGCAAAACCGTGGAGCGTCCAGGAATGAAACCATACTGACTCTTCGAAAAAAGATTATTTTCCATAAAGTATTTCATAATATGGTCCTTTATCAGCCCCTCCAGGACCTTACAACAAATTGACGTCAATGCTATGGAC